TTCATAAAGTTGTGTACCACTTAGTAAACAATTTATTAATCCAGATAACTAACTGTTCGTAAGTTATTAATTCAATGGAATAGCCAAAGCAGTTTGTTATGTGTGTTTGTGTGTGTGAGTGTGTGTATGTGTATGTGTGTGAGTGTGTATGTGTATTATTGTGTGTGTATGTGTGTGTGCATCTTATTATTTTAAATATAGTTTCTGTATTTTTATAATCTAGCGTTTTTAAACAATTTTGAAGTGCAGTTGACTCAGACCCTAACGATACTTGGGATAATTGACAATCCCCAAAATCACTCGCGCTTGCTCGCTTGCCAACCCTGACCCCGTAACCTGCCGCGTGGAGTCCTGTACCTTACTCAAGCGACAGAAATACTAGACTACTTACAACTTAGTGTTGTGGTATTTTGTGATACCAAATAAATCTACTATTTCTTCCTCTCTTCAAATCTTTAAGTTGGCTCAACAGATAACATTTTTACTTAAACGGCGAAGTTAATAGTCGGCGCAGCATTATGTTCTAAGTAGGTAAAATTTATTTTATTTATTATTGGAAAACAAACGGCATATTAAAACAAAGGGTTAAACAAAATGATGTAGAATTGATAAGCCTTACGCAGTTCTCACAAGTACAAATCAAAAATGATGTAGGTACTTTATCCAATCCACTCACGCTCAATTACTCGTAAATTACTCTCTCAAAAAATAAAACGTGTATGCAGAACTTACCTTGTTCATCAAGCATGATTTGCTTTACTCGCAAAGGAACTAACGCAAAAAAAAGTTGCTGTGACCGTTTAATATGAACATAGATGACTTCTTAACGTAATCATACTATACGAGTGTTAGATCAAATGTAAGTTTATTTAGTTACAAGCAGAATAAGTAATTTACAGTAAAACTCTGCCTTCTTGATCCTGTTTTTCTCGGGATGCCAGTAACATGGATTTTGAAGATGCGGGGACAATGAGACATCGTGCACAAACGCTTGTCTTCAATGTTGATACAATTTATCTATAACTAGCTGTGCCCGCGACTTCGTTCGCGTTGATGTTGGAAATGTTGGAATATAACAACTTGTCGTAATAAGGTAGATGGATGACATGATTTTTATGGTGAAGTGAAGAGTTCTGCTGCTTTCTTTAGGCTCTACTGTTTGTAAACGATATTAGGTATGAAATCTTGTGCAACATTTAATATAGATTGCTGTGGTTATTTACACGCAAAAGAGATTCATACTATTTTTGGCAATGGAAAAAGTTACAAATACCTACCTGAGGTCCATTCTTACAGAAAATAAAGCCTGATCCTATTTCTTTAGGCTGGTGCATCCATCTTCCCCCTCATGATCGTTGGAATATAACAACTTGTCATCCGTAGGTAGATGAATGACATGATTTTTATGGTGAAGTCAAGAGCTCTGCTCTCTTTAGGCTCTACTCTTTGTAAACGATATTAGATGTAAATCTCGTGGAAGAATAAATATAGATTATTGGGATTATTTACAACCAAAACAGCTTCATACTTTTTTTGGAAATGGAATTTAGGCGTGCGCGCGCGCCTTCCTGTTATGGTCATAAATGCACGCGCTGTACTCGATCCAGATTTTGTTAAGCAGTTATTTTAAAACTATAATATTTCCTAAGATATTCAATGAAATTGAATAATGACGGGGGCAGTATTGTTACAAAATAAATACTTGTGATGAATAACATCTTTATATTGATAAAAATTGAGTCGCAAATAATTGCATTGTTTCAGAACAAAGATAAGGCACCATAAAAAGGTTATAGTGTGTCAACCTTAAAAGGTAGACATAATATGTTGTCGCGGACTTTTTTTAGAACATTTAAATGTTCGTTTAGAACATTTAGGAACAATTTCTCATACATGATTTTTGTGTAAATTTAACTGTTTATGCAGCGCACGCAACGAAAGCTCTGAAAAGCAAATTTTTATTTCCCGTTTTCGCAACATTTTCCATTGATGCTCCGCTCCTATTAATCTTATTATGATGTTTTATAGCCTATAACCTTCCTCGATAAATGGGCTATCTTTCACAAAAAGAATTTTTAAAATTTGAATCTGTAGTTACTGCGATTAGCGCGTTCAACCAAACAAACAAACTTTTCAGCTTTATAATATTGTATTAATAATAATAATAATGTTTTATTTCAGATACTACATCCATAGAAATGTTAGTAACAATCTTAAAAACTATGTTAGTATATTTTAATAACAAAGTTATTTCATAATATATATACTTTTTGAGGCACCGGTCACATGAACGGTAATATATAGATTGTTGAAAAAAGAACTTAAATGGTTACAAATCTAAAGAAAATATAACTAGAAAAAATTCCACGCGGACCAGGCAGCAGACGGGACTCGAACCCGCACCCTTCGCAATCCGGGCGAATGCACTGACCAATTATGCTACCGCGGCCCTCACGGACCGCGTCGAAATTCTTTCTAGCTATTCTTAAGCTGCAAGGCAGCGCCATCTCTTCGCATTATAGGTAAACCCACAAATTAAATGGTTACGGTAAAAAAAAGCAAATCTTATTGTTATGTTATAATGATAAGTCAAAAATCAAAAATCAATTATTCAGTCTAGGCTGTTACAAGCACTTGTGGAAGTCGAGAAGCTCCGCCATCGGTTCGCAAAACTACGGCGGGAGACCTTGTACTGAGAAGTACTGGCAAGAAACTCAGCAAGGGCTGTTTTTTTCTGCCTGTATTATGATACGACAGAGTCGTCAAGTTGAAAAATGACTTCAAAGATAAGTCGATAATGCAGTCACTTTCCATTACATAATTAAGAATCAGATAAATCATTAATGTTACCTAAAATATATAAAACTACCTATGCCTACCTTGATTATAATGTTGGTAAGTTTCCAAGTCTCCCAAGTGGTTAGGAATTGGGTTCAGGCCGGCCAGATAAGGATGACAGCATAATTATTTTTTTGCTGCATTAGCTGTCTTTATAGCTGGACTCTTACTCATCAGGTGCAGTGGAGGTGACATGCTACGTGTCTTAAAACCATGAATTAGTGACTGTCATGCGAATACGGGGTGTTTGATATTTCATGACATCTTAACATGTAACAAAAAAAACTTTTTTATAATTTTTATTTTTTTAAAGCATGTAACTGCTTAATGTTTAAATCTAAAGAAAATATAACTAGAAAAAAATCCACGCGGACCAGGCAGCAGACGAGACTCGAACCCGCACCCTTCGCAATCCGGGCGAATGCACTGACCGATTATGCTACCGTGGCCCTCACGGTCCGTGTCGAAATTCCTATAGCCATTCTTAAGCTGCAAGGCAGCGCCATCTCTTCGCATTATAGGAAAAACTGTATCTCAAATTTCAAAAATTGAATCTCAGATTCAGGATTTTTTTTTATTTTAAATTTTTTAGGTGGAGGAGGCTAGCTCCTCACCAACCTGGACCTCTGAAATTACAAAAATTAAATTTGATATCAAATTCGGATTTAGGGAAAACCACAATCCCAAATCTGAGCCCAGATACGGATTTAGGGACCACACATTACTACATAAACTAATTAAATTTCTAGGCTTGGATCAGAAGAGGAAACAAAAAAATTGCGAACATTACCATGCACACATACAGACAGACCCGAACCACGATATAGATTCCAAAAGTGTAGTATTGTAAAACTCTCTAAGTAGTAAACTATGAAACACTATAATTTGACGATGTATTGGCATATTATTTGAAGCATCCTAGCATGATTCTAAAATTTTGTGGACAACTTCACGAAATACAGACAGGCACGAACCACGTTATAGATTCCAAATGTGTATGATAGTAAATTATCAAACACAATATAAAAAAATATTAATATAAAACTAAGGTTTTCTCCGTTTTCCTTCGCTATCAGACCATGTCATACCTAAGTACTTTTAAAAATGTATTTCTCTTCTTATTAAAATTACACAGCTCATAATATGAAACTCATATTTTAATCAATCTATTTACAAAATATATGCAAAACAGTATTATCTCATCGCTCTTCCGAGTACAATGACGACATCTTGGCTAGCGTGAAATAGGGTACATTGAGAATTTATCAAAACCCGAAACTTTAAAATTATGAGGAAAACGAATAAATAAAATTTGATTTGATAATTTGATACCAGTGAGATATATAGTTTCACAAATCTTAATTCTGTTAACAAAAAAGATATTTTGTCTACACTGTTTACGTTTTGGCACAGTTTTTGTAAATCTATGGTTTCACTTTTGAATTTCGAAGACGAGAGCTTGTTAAAGCGCAAGCTGAATTTTCATGTACATACCTGATACGCATGTACAGATCGCGGCACGTAACTCTAGTGCTGAACAAAACGCGGAGGGGATAGCTGCGCATGGGTACGACTAGAGAGCCAATCGGCGCAACGCACGCCCGCCCGCGCACCTCGGTTTCCCCCCAAGACATCTTAATATATATTTCTATAACGATCAGCGCTAGAGTTTCGTGCCTCGACTTATAACGTAACGTACCTATAATAATCACAAAACTGGACAAGACATGGTGATAATGGTGTCGTTTCTGACATGATTCCTTAAACTAAATACTAACATCAGTATCACCTTTTCATTCTGTATAGAGAATGACAAGGATACACTGTTGACAAAATTTAGTTTAGGCTTAAAAAATCATGCCCGAATCAACACCAATAAGTTGTTAAAAATATTTTTATCTTGTGAATAGTGTGCGCGATAATATCATGCTAGCACTTAACATGGCTATGCATATTAACTATTTGTGAATTTGATAACAGTCCTTTCTCTTTATTCCCTACAGCATGGCAAGGATGAAAATGCTAGAATCAGAAACAGCTATATAGCACTGTAAATCATGTTAGAATATTCATAAAATGTACGGATCCTTGGCTTAAAGCTAAGTTCAAGTAGCCTCTTTTGACCCATATCGCTCTCACCAAATCAGAACCACAGCAGTGCTCGGGTATACGTTAGACTGAATACTACATACATGCCGGTACAACTAACTTGAAGTAAGTACAAGTGTTCAATATTCACTTAATATTTATATAAAGTTTTTGCAGTAGTAGGTAGGTAAGTTACAATTAAATTTTCTAATAGAGTATTACTAATTTAAAATACGAAGAACAAGAATCTAGACTGAAGCTTTTAGAGTTATTTTTAATACAAATTTTAATTAAAAAATGTACATTTAATTTATTGAGAAAATGCATTTGTTTTGAACTATCGAGACATTAAAAGTTTTGAGAAATATTGTTTTTTTCACTCATGTTTTTATTTTGTTTATTACTTATGTGACAAGAATAATTGTAGTTAGTTATTTTAATACAAATAAAGTGATTACTTGGACTTGAGATAATTAATATTATGATAGCCGAGGTCAAATTGATCTATATTACTGAGATTGGAACTGTGTCTGTACTATAAAAGAGAGCAGTGCGGGCCATTTATAACCTTAGATCTTCTTTGAAAGATTCCTTTAAGGAGATTAATATAATGACCGTAGCTTCACAGTTCATTAATGAAAACATTTTATCATCATCATCAGCCTATTAAGGTCCCCACTGCTGGGGCACAGGCTTTCCCTATGGATGGAATAGGGAGATTGGGCCATGACCCACCACGCGGGCCCAGTGCGGATTGGTGGGTGCTAACGACTGATGATGTGGTCGGAACTAACGGCTTAACGTGCCTTCCGAAGCAGGGAGGAGCTCGAGATAGTAATTTTTGGTCACCCATCCAATGACCGACCACTGCGAAAGTTGCTTAAGTTCAACGATCGCAGCCGAACGCGCTAACCACTTGCGCCATCGAGCTCCTCAAAACGTTTTATATGTTTGTAAAAATATACAAAAAGAGACCTATTTACAAAAACAGTGATTTACATAAGTTCAATACAAGAAACTAAAGAAAAACTTGCCGTTCCAAATTTCAGACTGCATAGGATTGGTAATTCATTTATGGGATAATGCTTCATACTTTTCAATAAATTACCACAAACTGCCCATTCATAAATTTAAAGCACATATTAAAGTACCCTACTGAAACAGGGCTACTATAAAGTTGAAGATATTAAAAAGATAAAATTGTTTGAAATGTTTATATCTGCCTAGGTCGCGTCAATATTTATAATTATCTTGTGGCCACTTGGTTTCGTGGTGTCGCCGACTCGAGAGGTCCCGGGTTCGAATCCCGGTGGGGGCAGATGTTTGTGTGATGAATACGAGCATTTGTACTCCAGTCATGGATGTTTAATACGTATTTCTTTATAAATATACTTATATTGTACAATATATGTATTCTATCCGTTACCCTAGTAGCCCATAACACAAGCCTTACAGTGCTTACTTTGGGGCTAGGCTAATTGGTGTGAGTGTTGGTAATATTTATTTATTTATTTATATTTATTATTTAATGTAAATCCTTGAAAAGCGGCTGACAAAAATGACTGATTGAAATGATTCTTTAGATTTAAACATCTAGCAGTTAAATGATTAAAAAAATAAAAACATATAAATGACTGAGTTTCTTTCACTGCTTCTTCTCAGTACTAGTCAATTTATTGTCCCGAAGCAGTGGTAGCTATAAAGTAATACTGGGACGTTTAAAGCTTTGTATAAGCCTATTTGCAAAAATAACGACTTTTATGACTCGGACGGGGTTACTTGAACAGGAAATTCTGATGACTTTGAAACGTTCCTATAATATTTACTTTGATTTATTATTTCTATTGCTTAATCGTAAATATGTATGACAAAAAATATGTTAAACGGTATTATTAGGTTTTTTTATATTTTATATGATCTGTAAGTTATTACATTAAGACAGAGTATATATTCAAATTACAACTTTAATTGTTTGTAAAAACGCCCTATCCCTATTTGGGATTTTAATCTCTGAGTTACCTGTAGCTATTTATACTTATTTACTAACATACATAGACAAACATAATCTGAAGATATTTTTTTCTGGAATCGAATTAGTGACCCATTGTGTTTACAACATGTCTAAAAATTTATCGCCGCACCAACCGGTTCAGACGCTGCAAGAATAATTCAAACAGCGTTCATGACTTCATGACTATATGACATAATACCGAAAGGCCGAGCTCATAACTCGACTTTAAGCATACTAAGTACTCAAGTAACCATGTTTGTTTACAAGTAGTAGTAGTTCACGGCACAGTTTAATAGTGTCAATGCCAATGAGTCACTTCCAACAAACACATCATGTTGTTATGTATAAACGAAAACATTTGCAGTAAAATATTTACTACAAATAAATAAATCGTTCAGTGGTAAATACTTTTTGTCCTTGAAATGGTTGCTCAGTATATTTCCGCTGCACACAGAAAATTAAGACAACATCTTTTCGGGAAATAGCACACACTGCAAAGAGCATAGGTTGGTGCTGGACGCTGAGAGTCAAGTAACTCACTTAGAATCACTAAGTACGATAAGGTAAATAGGGATGATGAAAAAATTTATTTTCTTCGTATATCAGGTAGATTATCAAAAGGACATATATATTTTTTTTCTTTATTCGCATAGGTGAATCATTACAGAGATAATTATGTTGATTTGAAATGTCGCTTGGTAAAATTTTAACTTAGAAGTGACGTCACCAACTCTCACTCCCAAACTATGACGCTTTATCATTGTAATATTTTGGATGACTGATAAAATAAAAAAAGTGCCCATCATTTTATGAAACTAATGTAACTGACGGACTAAATAGAATTTCGTTGAATTTACTCCGGCATCATCCCTGTTCACACTGTAGCGTTCTAGGTAGATGGCATGTTCGCTGCTAGCTTCGCTCTTAGGCTGGCATCCACAATGTGGTCTTAACCTAACCTCAGTTCTGCAGTCGTAGGCGAACATTTGTGAACAAATGTTGGCTGAATGGCTATTCAGTAATAAAAAAATAAAAGAGTGTACCTTTTTTGAAAGGGGTGTAAGAATTTTATTTAACTAAATTTAATAAAAACTAGGAGTTAAAATAAAATATTTTAACAAACTTATAGCCGTATTTTACTCAAAGAATGTCATTGAATTTTTAAGTTTGTGAAAAAGTAACGCTCTCGTTTTTTTTACGATCATATCATAATAGAATGACACAAACAACATCAGAAGGGAGCTTACCTTCTGATTGACATGTCTGATAGTGGCTGCTAATCTCTGTATTTTTGTCTTTTACAGTTTTAATTTATTTACCACAGCAGGATGCGAGCGTTGTTGTCCTTCGCGCTCGTTGCGTGCGCATACGCATATGAAAGTTTTGACACACAGAGTGTGAAATCAGGGACGAAGGGTGGAAATAGCAACTACCAATATAGAGGAGGTGATATCAGCAGGTATGTGGACTGTACAGCTTTCATTGTAATGATTATAACCCTTGAAAATGTCAAGGAAACCCTTTTAATTTGGCTTGTATTGGAAATGTGATTTACGCTTTCTCGAGGGTAAGGAATCCTTCATCTACGAGTTCAACTTACAGTTCTTGACCGTTTTTTTATTTACTTAAAAATGGTCTGAAGTGTAGCAGACCATTTTTGTCGGATTTTTAAAAAAACGTTTTTATAAGTTAATCTTATTCTGTCACTAGATTTGTGGGGCCAATAGCACATGGTCCGTTTGGTAGTAAGAGATCAAATTGAACAATTAAATCTATAACCCTGTAAAATCTGCTTCACGCCTCTTTTGAAGAAAACCGATGCTGCCTTGCTTTGGGAAACACCCAACAGGGAGCTAATTCCATAGCTTAATCTTACGTTGGAAAAAAACCATCCAAAAACACGCAGACTCGGTTCTAAAGAGTGACAATGATTTTATTCATTTCAAAACATTCATTCTGAACCCTTCGTTTTATTCAAGTGTTACTTTTGTAGTTCATTTACCTTTGATATTATGTTCAATAATCATACAATTATAGGTATTATTATTGCATATTTGTTTCTTAAGTTTTCACGCACATCACTCATTAAATAAAACAAGTTTATAACGGGTTAATGCACGAAACTTTATTTATTTATTGACGTTTCGCAGCCTTTTCAGGTCTGCATCGTCAGAAACTGATTTTTTGTTTAATTTTGTCGAGCTACCTTCGAAAGACTTTTATTGAGCGTTCGGTTATTTCATTAAAGATTTTTAAAATTTTTATTGTCTATGTATGAATTTATTAATTAATAAAGTACTTTATACTTCTATCTCCTTCTTATGTTAAAAGGAGATAGAAAGCCTCTCTGAGTTTGTTTCGCCGGTTTTTCTCAAAAAGGTCTCCCAATTTTGGAACCGGTGGTAGTTTACGGTAGTTAGGGTCAAATAAATAGACTCAAAATTACAAAAAAGAATTTTAAATAAAAAAAATTAAAAAAGGCTGCGAAACGTCAATAAATAAATAATGTTTCGTGCATTAACCCGTTAAAAACTAGTTTTATTTAATTATTATTGCAGTTCATTTACTTTTGATAATATGTTCAATAATCATGCAATTATAGGTATTATTTTTGGTTTTTTTTATCACAGATTTTACGGCGCGAATAATACGCAATACTATGGGCCGGGTTCCATCAACGGTGCGCCACAGCATAACTTCGAAGTTGGCGTCTGTTACGTGGAAGTGCCGTAAGTGCTTACCTATCAATTATTTGACCAAATAGTAATGGCTGTAAAAGAATTGGTGTGGTTTAATAAAATTACGATACAAGTAGACCCATCTTTCCCAGTGGGCACTTTGGGCAAGTGCCCAGGGCCCCGTGATCGATAGGTGGGCACCTCAGATCACAAATACAAAGTCCCTAGTTCATGTTAGATCACCAAACGGGGGTCACGGGCCCCATTATCCTAATATGCCCAGGGCCTCCAATAGGTCAAAGACGGCACTGGATACAAGTGGAACTTTTAAAGTGTCTTACATCGCCTCGAATTTTTTGGATCGTAGGCATTTAACTGAATATTTTCGGAATATAATTCGAAAGTTGTTACTGCACCTTATATTATAAAAAAGGCCTTTCTCGACTGGGAATCAAAACCCGCGTGGCAGGCGTGCTTACTAACGCTGAATCACTAATGCTTGCTGATAAGGTCTGATTTTTTCGAAAACAATTAAAATGGGGCGCGCAAAGAAATACATGAATAATGTCACGCGAACCTTGTGACTTGACTGAATGCACGTAAAATTAAAGAGGAGTGCAGTAATTTATTTAACTTTTAATCAAATAATTCTAAAGAAATTTTTTCGCGAAATAAGTCAAACAGTCTGGGCCGAGTGGATTTGATTTTATATTTTTTTGGATTTATAAATCAATCAGTTTAATGCCTAATATAACAAAAAAAAGGCCAAATGCGTGTCGTGCCACACGCAGTGCAGGGTTCTGTAGTTGCTCGTCGTCACCACTTAACATATTTCGGACAATACTTCGTCTGTCACTCTTAATGTTTTCTTCTAAGGATTTTTTATAAGGTCAGAAATTTTCTAATACATAAGATGAACGACTATTATTCTGAAACTGACAAATCTATTAAAGTTTTAATCGTCCCCCCCGTCATCGTCGTTAATGTATAAAAACTGAAACGTGAATTTAAAGTTAATATTCGACTACCTACTGTAAATATGTAAAATAATTGTGTTACTACGAATAAGTAAGTCGGATGATTGTAAAGATCGTGATGTATTTCTACTGATAAAGAGTAGGTTAGTCGATAACCACTTTAAAATTAGAAGATTGTGAATTTTATATAAATTATTTGTCTTATGTATTTCCTTTGCTATAAATAAGAAAATACGATTTTCAGAATGACTTACAATGTAATAAAGTATGAAATGATTATAGAGATTATTAAACGGAAGTGGCGCCACTGAGGCGAAGTTAAGTTTTTCATAAAATAAATGTAACCCCACCCATATTACTTTTCCTCGTGGGTCGCCTGTGAGCGACAGGCAGTGTTAAATTGTCTTCGGTAGTGTAAAGTTGGAAAGTGTCGAAGTACTGTGCTAGTGACTGTGAATATAATTAAAATAATTGTCTGAATCCAAAGTGTTTTTCTACAAGTCCTACACTACGTAGGTGTACAAAACAACATTCGAAAATATTTATACAAGTCCCTTAAACAGTTATTGGTGTCAATTCTGGTATGCTTTTCTAAACTTAAAACTTAATTTAACATCAGCCTCTCCTTTTCATTCTACATAGAGAATGACAAGGTTAAGCTGTTGTCAAATTTAAGTTTAGGTTTAGTGAATCACGCCAGAATCGACACCAGTGTCCTTATTATTATTTGTGTTAAACTTTAATCTATTTTGTCTATTGACTTCCAGAACAGCAAGTATAGCTCGGGATCCTGCTCATGTTCCAGCTGGAAATGGAGTAAGATTTTTTCTTTGTAGCAACGAGCTAGTTTAAGTACTCTAAAGTTAATCGCGTACGTTAGTAAGAAAAAATGCGCAAAAGTCGTAGAGTGTAAATTTTGTGAGAGTATGTACAGCCAGTATTTCTGCTGCTCTACTCTGACTACATACTTGATAGTTATATTTAAATTTTTTAAGCATGTAACTGCTCAATGTTTAAATCTAAACAAAATATTACTAGAAAAAATCCACGCGGTTCAGGCAGCAGACGGTCTTCGAACCCGGACCCTTCGCTATCGGGCGAATTCACTGTCCATTATACTACCGCCCGCCCGACCCTGACGACCCGTGTCGAATTCTTTCTAGCCTTTCTTAAGCTGCAAGGCAGCGCCATCTCTTCGCATTGTAGGTAACCCACAATGTCAATACATACTTGATGTCTGGCTTGGCTTCAGAAAAGAAGCTTTACCTTCTAAACAAAAAATATTGAACAATGAACATAGGTTCATTTAGGTCGTTTATTTCATGCAAACCAAACAAGAGTATTCATTATGTTTATCATAGATATTATGTAAATATTTTACTAGCGTACGCTATAAATCTTGACGGTGATTTTAGTAATGAGCTTAAAAAACTTTTATATTATCTGTTTCCATTAAAATGTATGATGAAATCTGTGGTTTTATTAACAAACATAACTATTTTCAGTCACGCTCCGACCTCAGTCGCATCAGAAGTTGCTGCAAAGGCTACAAGAGGAACCCGTATAATTACCGCATCTGTGACCCAGTGTGCACCGCGGAATGTATCAACTCGCTGTGCACCGCTCCTGACACTTGCTCCTGCTACCCAGACCACGTCAGGAACTTGGGCGGTATTTGTGTGGCCACGTGTCCCATTGGCTGCCAAAACGGCCACTGCTCAGGGGGCGAATGCCTCTGCAAAGAGGGTTACAAGTTGGACCGCGATGGCAAATTTTGTGTGCCTAGTTGCGCAGCGGAGTGCGACCGTATAGGTAAAAATAACACATCATTATGAAATTTGGAAAATTAAGGCCCATTTTTTACAAAGTTCTTAATTCAAATTAAGGATTAATCGTGTTTAACACCTCATTTCATTATTGTCAATTGTTTAAAGTCAAATAGAGATCGGCTGAGGTTTGAACACGATTAATTAACTTACACAATTTAAATTATGAACTTTGGTGGAACTGAGCATTAATCTATGCATTGCATTGCCTCTAACATTGCCTTAAATAAAAACAATATTTTTCAGGAAACTGTACAGCCCCAAATACGTGCGAGTGCAGACAAGGAATATCACATCCAATTTGCCAGTCAAGTCATCAAACACCAGGAAGGGACCAACATCCTACACCAGGGCCTTACCAACCCCAATATGGCACAAATAATAATAATCCATCGTATCATTATTACCAAAACAATAATAACACACACTTTCCAGTTCCAAACCAAAGTTCTTCTCTAACCACGACTCAATCTCCATACGGTCATAGACCTCTGGATCAAGGACAAGGCCAGCACCAACCCAACCCAGGAGCTCTGCCTCCACAATCTGGACAAAGGCCCCACTACTCCACGTATCCGATCACATACAATTTTACAAATACTTATAACCGTCCTTTGTATCCAGATAACCAAATCGCTCCAAATCCATCAAACCCTTCAGCTTCTAACAACGGTCAAAATCCACAGAACCCTGTGTGGAATCCGTATTCACAGAATACCGTTAGACCTAATCAAGACACGGTCTATGCTCACTACCCTTCTGGTCAAACTGTAAACATTTCTATTCCGTCCCAGTATCCTCCAATATATCCTTCTAATCAAATCAGTCCCAACACCAATACAAATCAAGGTGGTGTCACTTCTGATTATCCTGTTACTCCAAATTATGATCATAATTATCCTTCAGGTAATCAAGGTCCACATTCCATGTATCCTTACAATCAAAACCCGCAAGGTTCGAACCACCCTCAACCGGGCGGATTCTACATTTACAACAGTACCGGTTCTTCAATTATTTCAACTACTACTTCAACATATCCTCAAAGGCCAGGTTCATATCCTTATCCTTCATACCCTTATCCTGGACAGCAAAATTCGCCTTATGGCCACCAGTCTCAGGGCATCAATTCATTTGACCAAAATTCATACCAAACTCAGGATTTGTCATTTTCACCTACGTGCTCTGGACCCTGCATCAATGGAGCTTGTGCTGAAAATAATATATGCAAGTGCTACCCTGGCTATGTTGTGGACGAAGACGATACTAGTGGTAGAAGGTATGTATTAAAAAGACCACCTTAATCGGGTTGCGCACGAGCTAAGCTAAGTTAGTTTAGCTTAAGCTGACGTAGTTTTTCATATATGTGTACAGACTGCAAACTATGCAAGCGCGAACACTAAGTTATTCCGACGCTTAGCTAAGCCAGCTGAGCTAAGCTTAGATAAACTAAAAATATGCGGAAGCTCAGTCAATGTTCCGGAGTTCGATTCGACGGACGTCGCTCGCCATGAATATAATCAATGTAGGAAGTTCCCATGATGAATACGTTACACATAAAAAAGAATAGTGCTGACTTATTATTATCTAAAAAAGACATTCCAGACCTTGGCTATGTGAACACAGGCTTAGCTTAGCTTCGATATAGCTTCATTTTCGATCTGCAACTCGCTTCCACGAACACTGTAGCCAAAATAATACTATTCCACACTGCTGGTGTGAAATCTTAAATATGCGAAGTTTGATATGCACATTATCAGTTTTTAAGTGTTTAATGTGATAATATAGGATTATTCGCGCGCTTCTTACCTCAACTTCGGTTCCCAGGTAGAAAATAGTGGAGGCGGCAGTTGTGCTGCTTCTACCAAGTATCAAAACATTTTAAAAAAACCGGCCAAGTGCGAGTCAGACTTGCGCACCAAGGGTTCCGTACAAACCTGTAGGTATATAATAATAATTATATATATATATATAGTAACGGATAGAATACATAAACGGTACATATATAAGTATATTTATAAAGAAATACATATTAAACATCCATGACTGGATTACAAATGCTCGTGTTCATCACACAAACATCTGCCCCGGGACCCCTCGAGTCGTATATATGTGATGTAACCAAAAATTACGTTTTTCGCAATTTTACCTTTATTTGTGCTATAAGACGTTGCTTCGTACCAAATTTCAAGATTCCGAGTTCACGGGAAGTACCCTGTAAGTTTTGATTACCTTGCGAGTTTCGAAAATTTGTGGCATAAACGGCTGTGTCTTTTGAATGCAACTATAGCAATGCTGGCTTAGAAGTTAGCTTTTTTTCACAGATCCAAGGGTCAGTAGACTTGAGTATTTAATATAAATTTCAGCTTGATACCTCCACGCATTCCTGAGAAAAAGGGTCTTGACAGACGGACGGACGGCCAACAAAGTAATCCAATAAGGGCTCCGTTTTTGCCTTTCGAGGTACGAAACCCTAAAAAACGTGTATGAAATCATTAAAGTCAATATTAAGTCATGGCGTGACCAAGGTGACATTAAGAGTTCACTTTTTATAGATTTATATAGATAGATTTTCTACACTCTACTCCAAGTAATTTACTAGAGATGGGCGTTTTTAGATATTTGTGATATCGATGCGCATCGATATCAGATAAATGGCATTCGATGCCGGCATCGATGCCGGCATCGCATCGATGCCAAGTGAATATCAGTATCATAGTATCACAGGATGCGATGCGATACGAATTACGACAGATACGTGTTTAGGTTAACGTTGACAGAAACTAGCTGACATCGGCATCCAATAACGGTACCCTGTCACATCGGATGCGCGCATCCAAACCTGGCATCATTATCACGTTCACGCATCATCTCGCGAAATGCGGATGCGAATTACGATAGATGCATGTTTTGTGTGGGTGTATCCCTTCGATTAATGAATCATGACTTGAAAATGCAAACGAAACCATATATTTATTTTCGGCATAGTAACTGAAAATATTGAATGTTGGCAAAATTTTTAACTGAAAAGTTGCACTCAGAGCATTGGTTTTGAACGCAGACCAGTGTCACAAACTTTTCTGTGCCAGTGGCAAAAATTTTAACTACAATTTATCCATAGGATTTTGACATATTTGTTCACCGCTAGCGACATCTCCACCAGCACAGATAAGTTTGTGGCACTGTAGTTATAGTAACGTTGACAAAAACTAGATGGCATCGGCATCCGATAACGGTAACGGTAACTGGCATCGTTATTGCGCATCGTTATTCTAAAAACGCCCACCCCTATAATTTACGAACATTGTGTACAGATGCCTACCGCACTGCCCCGGTGGTTGTCCCAACGGGTACTGCGCATCTCCATACAGCTGCGCGTGCGACGAAGGTTACTACAAGGACATCAGCATCAAGGGCCGCGCTCCCTGCATCAAGAGGATCCGGAGATCAGCCGCAGAGGAGCAACCAAACAATGTGGCCGACCTTCTGGTCTTTGAAATTCCGGAGAACGAAAACTAAGATAACAGTTAAGCATTAAATACCTATACCATTTAAAAGAAGAACTGAGGCTAAAGTTTTATTTTATTCCCTTCATTCCTGTGATAAAGTTTAAGGACCACCTGCACCAAAATTCTTATTTTTTTTTTTGGCAACAAACAGTCATATATTTTACAAAACTAGAACTTATTTATACGAGATGTTGTCATACAGTATCTCACAGCATATTATGCAGTATGGACCATTATTAAAATTCAATTATTTTATCTAACGCGTCTCTCAAAATGTGAATTTAGGGCTCACTACCTCCCTGTACTTAACACAGGTGTATTTTTTCATATATGTCGAGTGGCCCAGGGCTGGAGCCCCTTTTTTTGTGTCTGGGAAATGCTTTACGCATCCTTCAACCACTGGGGGAGCGAGAAGAAGGTATGTGGGACTCCTCCCTGTTCTTTCAGCCAGCTCTGTGGCCGGGTGAACCTAACCTAACCTAACCTAACGCCTGGGCCACTAAAAACCAGACAATACTCCTGCACCGTCACCCGACACGCACTATGAGGAAGGGCTGGAGCCCTGGAGATTTTAAAAAACGCCTCTATATATAATGTCGCAATTTTAGAGCCTAGGTCATTTGACAACTTTCATGTTTCATGTCATTTATTCAGATCATTACCTATTGACATCTCGAAAATGTATACATTCATTTGAAGTCCTAAGTTTAACGTTTAAAAGTTTTAACCAGAACTAAATTTAACCTAAACTTATTTTCCTAAGCGCAGCATGGTCAAAAATATAAACATCAACCCCCTTGTTCATAAACGAGGAATAATATTAAGGTGCGATTGCATTAGGTTGTTTAATTTATAAATTAAGTAATTTAAACACTCTTTAGGCGATTTTGATTGAAAATTATTTGAGATTCAAATTTAACGGGCCCCGAAACCTCCGGACTGTAAAAAGAAAGTAGCCAAATGCGTACTTATACCGTTTTCTTTGCCTGCTCCTCACTTGTAACTCAATGAACATAGACAAAACATAGATAAGCTTAGACTAATGATTGAATGATTTGTTCATTTCACTCAAGTGCCCTTTGTCATTCAATGAACAGAGGAACAGAGACAGAACACAGAGTAACGAATCCAATAAATAATAGTTATTTATTATACAAGAGTGGAAAGTTCCTTTTTAACCGCGTGCTCGATTTGGATGACCGAGCAAGCGAAGGATTCTAAAGTTGAATCACGAGCGCAGCGAGTGATTCTAAATTAGAATCCTGAGCGTCAGCGAGGGAAACAAACGAGCACAAGGTGAAAAATCTTTCCACTCGAGTGCAATACGTAACTTTTCATCCCACCTCAGCGAGGAAATGACAAAATGAAAAAGAAAACAATTTATAATGACAAAATATTTAAGCAATAAAACGTGAAAAACTAGAATGGCGCGAAGCACGCAAATAAAACAAAGAAACCAAGAAGGTTCCAAATTTAAATTTTTTCACAATTTAAAAAGTTCTAATCATAAATTTGGCACCATAGAGGTTACATTAAATAGGTTTAATGACGTTTTGAATTTACAATTATATTGAGTACTCATTATATGTGATGTTCTAAATTCAAATCTACTTTGCCGCTCAAGCGAATAAAATAGAATTTTCCAGCCAGATTTCGAAGCGCAAAATTACACTTTCCGAGGTGGTGGGATGAAAATACTATTTCCAACACTCACACCAATTAGCCTAGCCCCAAAGTAAGCACTGTAAGGCTTGTGCTATGAGTAACGGATAGAATACATATACTGTACATATATAAATATATTTATATAGACATATTAAACATCCATGACTGGAGTAGAAATGCCCGTATTCATTACACAAACATCTGCCCCCATCCGGGACCTCTCGAGTCGGCGACACCATGAAACCCGACGTACAAACCACTCGGTCACGGAAGTCGTCAAAATCCAAGCTTAGCCTTCGCTTATTACTAAGGGTAAGAGTGACTTATTACAAGTTTAATCTCTGTTTATTAATAAAGGGGGTGAATGACGAACTTTATCGTTTTTACTTGTGTAATAGGCATTATGATTCGCCCAATCGAGAAGTGAGTATATAATAAATAAATAAGTAAAATATAACATATATCTACAGTTGGTAAGTAACAAAGAATCTGTCGTCGAAATAATTTAGCTTAGCCTAACTGTAACATAATTAAATAAGTAAAATTACTTATATGTTTCATTGGTTTTCATTATAATAGGTCCCACCACAATGTTGCTTGATAAGTTTCAATTTTATAAGTTTTTATAAATTGGGCTATGACATGTTCTTAAAGAACAATACGAAAGACATAAAAAACACGGGTTTATTTTATTAATTAATTAAAATTAAGCTTCTTTGCAGGCTTTAGTGGCTAATTCATGCAACGCCACTTCGTACTTTGTACAAGAGTATTCTGAGATGGGTCCAAAGTTTATATCTGATATCATGTCAATGTTACCAGCGGCATCTGCAAATAAATTAATACAAAATCATTTAATACAGAGAAATACCTACGTATCACACAAACATTTAATGAATAAATTCTTATAAAAATAAATTATAAAAATTAACCATTACATTACAATTTGCCGGAATTAGTCGGAAGTTGGAGTTCAAAAAACTAGTGCATGCACACTATCTGACCACCTAATATTTCTCTAATCTGTAGTCATCTATACCATCTTATTAAGTTATTTCTAACTAATTAAGTGTATGTGTATGATTATATATGCATTTTATTAATTTATATATAATGTGTATTGGTATTTATATAAAATAACCCTATATTTTATTTATATATAATATATATTTATCGTTTATGCTATAGTATAGTTCTTTAGGTTTCTTTTTCTCTAACTTTAGTAGCTCGCACTCTATCGTAAAAGCATCCGTCTCATACACCCATACTGGTTGACTTGTAGAGAATGCCTTTTATGAATGTATATTGTTAAAAAATAAATACAATTATTTTGTGCTAGAGTAAAAAGTGTTGGATATGCTGCGGGCAGTTATGAAGTATTTCAAGAATAAGGCAGTTTTATGTACCGTTCTCTTCATATTTTATAGGCATTTATGAACATTTTTGTAAAAGTAAAAAATGGGCATTGCAAAAGTTTGGTATGCCACGATCGGTACATATTGTCAGACATGTCAATTATGTTACTTTCGGCCGCCTTCGCAACTGTGTTTTGTAACCAGTTGTCTAAGAGGATTTTTATTATTTCATGGCAAACTGTTGTGAAAGAATATTTTTTTATTATTTATATAAAGAATATTCTCGATACACAACCAGTCATCACCAAAGGAAAAAATCTACCATCGCAACTGTGTTTTGCAACCAGTTGACTACCAGGATTTTTAACTTTTTCATGGCAACCAGTTTTAATAGAAGAAAATGTATTCTTGTTACGCAACTGCCGTTCAGGCAAAATAGTTATCGTCAAATCCACGTTCACGTCCCAAAAATTTTTTTATTTCGCAAATGACTCTTTTGAAACCCATAATGCCATTTTTACAGATCGCATTGTTTATAATTCAAAATTTAAGTGTTTGTTTCATTTGATTGCAAAACACAATTGTGATAGCGGCCGAAAGGATTTTGATCAATTCTACCCCCAAGGGGATAAAATAGGGAATGAAAGTTTGTATGAAACTTTGTCAATTGTGAACCGATCGGGCTGAGACTTTGCATGCAGGTATAAGAAGAATCATAGATTAATGTCATTGTGTATAATACAAGCCTGAGAACAAAAACTGTAGTCTACATTTCAGCTCTACACCGAAGCGAAGCGAGGGCGGGCCGCTAGTGTTATATATAAACACACTCAATCAGACTTGTTCATTCGACGAGCCAGTCATTAATTGACAATTGGCCGATATATTCTTATTAAGAAGTTATATTCATTAAATTAGTCTCACTCTTTGATTCGTTACGACTATCCTTAGATCGTGCGAGGCACCATTTTCTTACACACAAAACAATGGCTAGAATAACAGCGATCACCACTACTGCTCCAACTGCATAAACGATCCAGAAGTAATTCGTCCTGAAAGTAATGGTCATTAAAGCAATGGCTCATGTGCTCATAATCCTTAATAAATAAAAAAACGACGGGTTGCTTGAGTGCCGGCAGAAGTGAAAACTTGAATATTAACGTTGTGCATTTTTGATATTTTGGAATGGTTAGGTTAGGTTAGGTTAGGGAATAATTTTGCACGAATTGCTTTAATTATCAGTATAAAAGTATTATCATGTATGTGGTAGAATACAATATTTATTTATTGCGCTATCGTACACAAATGTGACAATTTATATTACATTAAAAAAGTTTATCTCTCAGAAAAATCAACTTACATGAATCACGTTTAAGCGCACTTAGCGACATCTTTTGTATAGAAATCAAGTTACATGAATTACATTTAAGCACCTAGCGGTATCTATTGTAAAAAAATGCATTTTCTTCGCAATAAAGCTGCCACGTGGACGTACTAGATAGATACTTATTATTATAACACGATAAAAAAAATTGTGTGTGTCAGCTCCGACGCACGACTGGAGTTTACTCCTTAAGTTCGATAGTCTAACCAGACGCAAATAGAGTTTATTTAACTTAAAAAAGATTGATACTGTATGAAAGGGTAAATTAACATATTAATGAAAATAATATACATATATAAATATATATTTATTCATTTCATATACATTTATTATAACTAATCGACGAAATATTTTACATTAAACTTTTTACAATAGTCAATTTCAGATGTGCATAAATATATCATTAGGAATGGTGGTAAATTATGTAATTATTATTATCAGACTATTATCATTTTTTTAAATATTAATTAAATTAACATTGTCTGCATTATTAATTACAGTGACAAGTGGTTTATGGTAACTAAAATAAGACACATGGACGTTCGTAGATACGTGGTTCACGAATCTTGAAAATACCGCATCAATGGTTGTACCATACCTCGTTGTCCCCATTGCTCTATCAGAAACAATATCTAAATTCAGTTCAGATTTTAAAATTTTTATTAATGTCAATCCGTCATCTTTGTTTGTCAAAGTTGCGCGACATAGGATGCGCACCATAAACGTAACGAGGTCATTCATCGATAGATTTTACTTCTCACATTTTTCTCATACCGGGCCCCTTATATATGCAAATCGATTCTTAAGGAGTAAACTCCAATAAAATATTACTATGTTTCGTCCAATATATTGAAAGTCAACAACCATTCCAATTTTATTGTGTGTCATGATGGGATCAGCCCACGTGTTCAACCTGACGCGAATTTAACATTTTTTACCAAAACAAAAAAAAGTGTACAACGCCGTTAAAGAAGTTTTCACTTCAAAAATATTGCAATGTTTGCTTACCCTTCTTCTTTGTTTGTAGTGTTATCGTTTGGGTAGTTAGAAATAGTGTTAACAATAGTAGTTAAAAATGATATAGGAGTCGTTGTTTTATACTCAACAAAGACAGGATCAACAGTTTTTGTAGTTCTCAAAGTCGGCTGGCACCGATTAGTGTCCGTATTCATTTCAAAGCCCACGTTACATTCGCAAATATCAGGTCCAATGCATGTTCCATTTGAACATCCACTATCGCATATTGGAATACATGTGTTCTCACTCGAAAATATGTACCCAACACTGCATGCACAAACATTTGGAAAAACACACAAAGTGCCATTACCACATCCTTCAGGACAATATGGTTCACAAGTTTTTTTGACACTTGACCAGTTGAAGCCATTTCCACAAATACACGTGTTTGGACTCACACATATTCCATTCTCACAATTACTGGGGCAATGTGGTTCACAAGATTTCATATACGACATTTTGTATCCTGGTTTACATATGCAAGTATTTTGGCTGGTGCAAATACCGTTTCTACAATCTGTATCGCAGTAAGGTTCACAAGTATTATTGCTTGAGATTTTGTAACCTGAATTACAACTGCAGGTGTTTGGGCTTACACAGGCTCCATTCACACATCCACTAGGGCAATATGGGTCGCAAGATTTTTTTATACTTGACCACTTGTAGCCGTAATCACAAATACATGTGTTTGGGCTCACACATCGTCCATTTGCACATCCGCCAAGGCAAAATGGTAAACATATGTTCATAATTGACATTTTGTACCCTGCATTACATGCGCAGGTATTAGGACTGGAACAAAAACCGTTAGGGCAATACATATCGCAGTGAGGCTCACAAGTAAAATTCATTGATATTTTGTACCCTGTTAAGCATGTACAAGTATTAGGGCTAGTACAAGTCCCATTTGGGCAACCACTAGGGCAATAAGGATCACAGGTGTTCGAGCTTGACATTTTGTACCCTGTTGGACATGTGCAAGTATTAGGACTAGTGCAAGTCCCGTTTGGGCAACCACTAGAGCAATAAGGATCACAGGTGTTCGTGCTTGACATTTTGTACCCTGTTAAACATGTGCAAGTATTGGGACTAGTGCAAGTTCCATTTGGGCAACCACTAGGGCAATAAGGATCACAGGTATTCGTGCTTGACATTTTGTACCCTGTTAGACATGAGCAAGTATTAGGACTAGTGCAAGTCCCATTTAGGCAGCCACTAGGGCAATAAGGATCACAGGTATTCGAGGTTGACATTTTGTACCCTGTTAAACATGTGCAAGTATTAGGACTAGTGCAAGTTCCATTTGGGCAACCACTAGGGCAATAAGGATCACAGGTGTTCGTGCTTGACATTTTGTACCCTGTTAAACATGTGCAAGTATTAGGACTAATGCAAGTCCCATTTCGGCAGCCACTAGGGCAATAAGGGCCACAGGTGTTCGTGCTTGACATTTTGTACCCTGTTAAACATGTGCAAGTATTAGGACTAATGCAAGTCCCATTTAGGCAGCCACTAGGGCAATAAGGGTCACAGGTGTTCGTGCTTGACATTTTGTACCCTGTTAAACATGTGCATGTATTGGGACTAGTGCAAGTCCCATTTGGGCAGCCACTCGGGCAGACAGGAACACACGGCCCCGTGTTTGACTTCTTGTATCCTGCTTTACAGGCACAAGTATTAGGACTGATACAAATCCCATTTGGGCAACCACTGGGGCAATTAGGATCACAAATATTCTTTTTTGTCATTATGTATCCTACTATGCATGTGCAAGTATCAGGGCTAGAACATGTACCGTTTGGACAACCGCTGGGACAAACAGGAATACACATCCCCCAGGTAGACATTTTGTACCCTGAGTTGCATTGACATATGTTAGGGGCCACACATTGTCCATTACTGCATCCATCTATACATATCGGTTTGCAAGAAAGTTCTTTTGTGGAAGTCGCGTCTTGTTGGTAGCCCGAGCAACAAAACTGCTCAATAGGATATTTTTGTTCCTGAAATAAAACATACAAAATGGTTAGTTTTTATTCTGAATTTCATTCAACGGAAAAATAATGTCAATGTTATGTTGTGGTTATGTTATGTTCATTCAAAATGCTGGTTTTCAGTTAACACTTTATTTAAATATCCTTAATCTTGTAAGACTAAAAATATATAGTAAAATATACGGTCGACTGGCGGACAATGTAACAATAGAACCATGTAACAAAAGAAATATTCTGTTTTATACCCGGCCATTTGACGTCTGATGACAGCTGCTTAAGATGACGTCATAAAAAACCAATAAAACACGTCAAGATCAAGACAGACCATAGACAAATATAAAAAAGCAGAGATATAACTTTTGTTACACTGTGCTTCTTGTAACACTGTCACCCACTTGACCCTTTTTCTGTTTTAATTAATTAGATAATGTAATAAATTATCATTTTTATTATATTTTTTAAGCAGTTAATGATGTATAAATCTAAAGATTTTTTTACTAGAAAAAATACCACGCGGACCAGGCAGCAGACGGCAATGACCCTTATGCTACCGCGGCCCTAACGGCCGTGTGGAATTCTTTCAAGTATTTCTTAGGCTGTAAGACAGCGCCATCTTTTCGCATTGTAGATAACCTACAATGTCAAACGAATACCTTTACAAATATTAAAAATTTGAAAGAAGAAATAGCAATTATAGAAATCCTCGCGGACCAGGCAGCAAGGCAGCAGACGGGACTCGAACCCCACCCCCCTTCGCTATCTGGGTGGATGCACTGACCATTATGATGTACTAGATAGAATTCGACACGACCGTTAGGGCCGCGGCAGCATAATGGTCAGTGCATCCGCCCGGATAGTGTAGGGTGCGGGTTTAGTCCCGTCTGCTGCCTGGTCCGAGTGGAATTTTTTCTAGTAAAATTTTCTTTAGATTTTAACATTTTTATTTTAAGAACGTCTGCCTAGTCCAAAATAACCAATAAAGAAATTAGTTTACCGTCAGAGTAATTATGTCGTAATATTTTTGTATTCTAGTCGCGCCACAAAAAAAAAGACAATTAGACTTTTTGTACTTCTCAATCTTTGTATAAGTCTTTTTCACTGTATAACTAACGATAATCCTGAAACAATAATATGTACAGCGCTTGCGCATTATCTCTCATTCACAGAGTTGGGTCGAAACAACAAACTTTTCTAATAAAACAGATTTCATAGAAACAACACTAAAAAGTAAAAAATAATAACTAGATGCATTTTCTTTTATCTAAAGTACATTTGAAGACTTATTAAAGAGTCAGTACCATGCATGTTAATAGATTGGAGTTACTATTTACTGCTTGGGTTTGCATTGACTTTTTGTTTTTGTAAATACGTTTTATTTTCCAAATTTTTAAGCCAAACTCTACAATCAACCGAGTATCTCGATCATAATTCTTAATATAACCAAACCGTTGGTAATTGAATACTGTTTGTAATTGAGGAGATGCACTATATCCATAAAATGGTGAATATCACATTTAGTGAAGTGAAGGGAACGCAGGATGGGTGTTGCCAGTGATGACCTACAGATCTGAGACGTGGTCGCTGAGTGTGAGTCTGATAAGAAGGCTCAGAGCAACCAAGCGAGACTGCAGAGTGATCATAAATGAGAAAATCCGTTGAAGAACTGTAATAATCAATGGGTTGCCAAGCTGAAGTGGCAATGGACGGGGAACATAGTTCGGCGGACTTATAGAAGTTGGAAACTCAATGTGCTTTAATAGCGACCCTGCATCTTCTACAGCCATGCGGCTAGAGCCCTAGATCAGACCCGTCTTTCCCAGTGGGCACTTTGGGCAAGTGCCCAGGGCCCCGTGATCAATAGGTGGACACCTCAGATCACAAATACAAAGTCCCTAGTTATTGTTAGATCACCAAACGGGGGTCATAGGGACACCATTATCCTAATACGCCCAGGGTCTCCAATAGGTCAAAGACGGCGCTGCCCTAGATAGACTGACGACATCAGGCGAAAGTTACGGAAAGGATCCTTATGCGAAGAAGTGTTCGCAGGAGGCATATGGCCAGTAATGGAATCGAATCGTTAAGGAAGTGCTATTTTTATTGTATAAAATACATAGAGAAACATCATATGTATAGTCACTTATACTATAAAATTTTCTAGTTATGTCACTAAGATTATAGGAATTTATGTTGTTTACGTGATTGCTTGCTACCACATACCTTTCTTTACCTTCATTATCATGGCACGCGTAACAGTGCCGAAATATTGGAGACACGTTAAAACATGGTAGGAATCCCGTAAATAACATATATTACTGTAACATGTAGAAACATGTTTTGTAAGTAACCACACCCCTAGTCAAAAGTTTAAATGAAAATCTATATATATATAAAACTCAAAGGTGACTGACTGACTGACATAGTGATCTATCAACGCACAGCCCAAACCATTGGACAGATCGGGCTGAAATTTGGCATGCAGGTAGATGTTATGACGTAGGTATCCGCTTAGAAAGGATTTTGATCAATTCTACCCCCCAAGGGGATAAAATAGGGAATGAAAGTTTGTCTGAAACTTTGTCAATTTTAAACCGATCGGGCTGAGACTTTGCATGCAGATATAAGAAGAATCATAGATGAATATCATTGTGTATAATACAAGCCTGAGAACAAAAACTGTAGTCTACACTTCAGCTCTACACCGAAGCGAAGCGAGGGCGGGCTGCTAGTACTTTTAATTATATTTCACTGTTTCTTAAATAATAACTATGTGTACATGAATCAATATAGTAAAAGATTATTAAGTATTATTAGCGGGATTCTCTTACTGTGTCGGTTACGACACGACATTTTTCGGTTTTCTTGAAGTAATTAATTTTTCATATAGAATTTCTAGTCAATATTATGACAAACCAAATTTCAAATCAGTAATGCAAGAAAAGTTGATTCAAGAACAAGTGAGCTAAACAGCAGGCACTATCATTATATTAATATAATAAGTGTATACTCACGGTTTATATCGTGTACACATCTGACAATGTACTTGATAACCATAATTAATAATTAAAATAAATACAATCATTAGCGCCTGTGATGCTGCCATTGTTTATAAATGGAATATGTGATGAGTTAGTGGTAGTGTATGAGTGATATAAAGATTAGAGTGACCACGTTTCAGTGATAGTGTATTTAATAGCTGATCTTACTTTTTTTCCCTTCCTCTAGAAGGTAGATTATCAAAAAGTATTGGACACGTATTTTTTCTTCATTCACAAATTCACAAAACATTACAGAGATTTTATTCTGGTAAAAATTTCCTTAGATTTAAACATCTAGCAGATAAATAAAATTATAATTATAGAAATATATTTGATTCGGAATGTCGCAAGACGTCACGTCTTGGTACAATTTTTACTTAGAAGTGACGTTATAAGCCCCCAATCCCAAACTTCGACGGGCTTTACCATTGTCATTTTTTTGGTTGATTGACAAAAGAAAACAATAAGTATTACATTATTTTTTGATAACCTCACGGACGAACTAAAAAGAATTTTATTTAAATGAACCTGTTATTACCCATTCATGGAATGAATCGTTTTTACAGCGCAGTCATATTTTTGGATGAATTCGTTATGTGAGTGATAAGTACACCGGTTTTCAAGGTGTGGACAGCCTAAAGGCTGGGTTCCGAAGGACAAATGTTTGTATGATTGATATGATTTTTACCTAAGTAATTGCTGTTAATTTGACGACCTCCGTGGTCGAGTGGTTTGTACGCCGGGTTTCATGGTGTCGCCGACTCGAGGGCTTCGAATCCCGGTGGGGGCAGATGTTTGTGTGATGAATACGAGCATTTGTACTCCAGTCATGGCTGTTAAATATCTATTTCTATATAAATATACTTATATATGTACTGTATATGTATTCTATCCGTTACCCTAGTATCCCATAACACAAGCCTTACAGTAAGCACTTTGGAGCTAGGCTTAATTGGTGTGAGTGTTGGAAGTATTTATGTATTTATATTTATTATTTATATTTCTAAAAAAAATATTCTTTTATATGTAATAAAATGATGTATTTCTACCCATTACCCTAGTACCCTATATCACAAGTCTTACAGTGAATAATCATAATAGTCTGATGCTTGTCTAATTACTGTGGGTACTGGAAATATATTTAATTTTTTTGTAAAACAAGAAAGATCCAAAAGTGATTTTGTTTCACTTCATAATGGAAAAAGACCGTGGGTATTAATTAATCTCAATCGGAGTATAAACTATTGTGACATGGAAAGGACTGAGCAAACAGACACAATGGATACAAACTGAGATAATGATGCAGTCCCAAATATTTTTCGCAAAAGAGTGACATCCTACATACAAAAAATATTTTAAGGATGTGTTATTCTGACAAATCACGGCGTAGCATCCGCTTGACGAATGATGATTTTATTAATAAGTAATTGCGATTGTGCACAAGTGTATTAATTAGTGTTTTGGATATTTTAATAGCAGCATGTTGCAGCTTTTGTATTCACAAACCTATGTATATTCGTATCTTGGAAAAAATATTCTGACATTTAAATCAGACAAACAGCTCTCAGACAGAGACTGAAGCAACACACACTACATATATGAAACAATATTTATACCTTGGCCTGTGGCTAAAAACCAGCGTTATGACATTCTGTGTCAAGGCATGAGCTTAGCTGGAGACTTTCCTTTCTCTGAACGGCTTCTTAAATAAATCAGTCCATGAACTAACCAGGCTAACTTTGTCAATGGGCGGCCATTAGATAGGTGACCAAAAACTTAACATCTTGAGCGCTTCCGTGCTTTGGAAGGCACTTTAATCCGTTGGTCCTAGTCCTGCAACTGTAGTCGTTAGCATTCACGAACCAGCACGGGGCCCGCGTAATGGATCGTGGTCCAATAGCCCTATGCCATCTACAAGTAAGGCCTGTGCCACAGCAATGGGAACATTAAAAAGGCAGATGATAAAATCCATTCTTTCTTGTTGACGTTGTAACCACTAACCACGATGCAGCATTTTATTTATAATATTTATCTTTAATAATATTATGGAAAGATAATCTTTGTTTGTTTGTAGTAGGTAATTTCTGGAACATGGTACAAAAACGTTGGCTCTTTTTTAATAAAATCATTTTAAACGAGGTCCAGCACGCACATTGAATTTAAATTCATTCATTAATGCTGATAGCTTATCCATTTCATCAATTGAGACCCACATAGTAATTTCCTCCAAATAATTGTAATTTCGTCTCATCGAAAGTAATAGTAGGGGAGCCCAAGCGGGGATTTTTGGATTTACTCGAGCGTGGCAGAATAACATATGGGGAGCAACCTTGCACCTAGTTAATTACTCTCACTATACCTGAGCCATCTATATAGGACCGAACGTCTAGTACAGTAAAAACAAAATATCTTTTGAATAGAAGCTACTGGAGGGTTCACGTGACATCCCTTCTCAATATCTGACGCGCTAGGTTATTTTTTCCTATATTCTACCCCTTCGTACGGCCACCCCCATATCATGCAAACCGCGGCAGATAGATATTTATTCCATTCTTAGAAACGTTACATGAACCCTCTAGTAGCTTATATTTATTTATTTAAACTTCATTGCCATACATATGCAAACGGCGGACTTAATGCCATAGGCATTCTCTACCAGTCAACCTGAACGAGTGTTAGAGACAAATGGTATGGCGATAGGGCAAAAAGCTTTATAATAAAACATGTAGAAAATAACAGGGATTAAAATATATTAATATTTTTATACTAAATTTGATATACCTACATAAACTACACAAATAAAATACATAAATAAATATATACATACATAAAATACAATAAATATAATATATAAATAGATACAAACTATAAATAATAACAAGAAAGAAGAGATTGCGTAGTCAGGTCAGGAAGTGTTCACGCACTAGTTTTTTGAACTCCATCTTATTGTTAGAGCTGCGAATGTTGAGTGGTAGAGAATTCCACAGGCATTATATTCAAAAGACTGACGATTTGGATGCGATCAAAAGCCATGACCGTTCGTTGAAATTTTGTTTTTGCTGCCCTAGACGTTCGGCTCTACATAGAGGGACTCAGGTTTGATGGGAGTACTGAACTAGGTGCAAGGTTGCTCCCCATATATTATTCTGCCGCGCTCGAGTAAATCCAAAAATCCCCGCTTGGGCTCCACTACTATATAAGCTCTTTAAAAAAGTATTCCCAAACGTCATTACTAACTACAAAAATAAAAAATGGTTGAGCGACTGAGAAATTTATGGGCTACGAAGACAGATTAGGATGGCTTACACTTCGTTATTAAGATCGCATCGTTGGTACACCACATTTATTGTGTAACAAATGAAGATGTGACATAGCCACCAATAATCTGATTGAATTTTAAACTCTTATGGCTTACCACCACACTATTCTAAACTGAAGGTTAGCTCGGTGGTGAAAATGCTTCGAAATGACTATGTTTTCGAAACGGGTACCAAATAAACAGGCTGCTTTTCAACAGCATTATTCGTCTTTAAAAATCTAAATTGCCTAAGCTTATGTTTAGATTAAAACAAAAAGTATCTTAGCCTCTAGTTGTCTTCTATGTAAGCCACACTAAATATAACTCAGCATAGTGGTTATTTTTTTATATCTAAATTTGTAACATGTATTCAAGCTGTAAACTTCTAAAATATTAATATATGGCACCAAAATAATAATTCTGAGTTATAAAATATAAATTATCTTACATTAGTTGATGGTCAAATTTATCTATTATTATCATCAAATTGTATATTAAAGTCACTTTTATACTTAAGAACTATTGAGGCCAATAAAATAAGATACTTTATTTTGAAAAAAAAAATAACAATTGTGTATTGAGGTACCGTCATTTTTAGTAAATAAAAGAAAGATATAGTACCAGACCACTCAGAAAGTTTGGCGATAAAAAGTTTTTATGTATATCTGGCCACTTGTAATTATTTTGAAAACTTCGATTTTCACACCAGAATCGACACCATTAGAACCTTTAATTAAGCTAAAATTTCGACACTGCGTCTGTAAGCAAAATTCGTCGTGTCAGCTAGTATTTACATAAAAACGGTAAATAACAAGAACAAATTAGAAATAAAATCATACAAAAACATTTAATTCATTTTATAACAAAAATATATTACATCTTCATGTAAACTACGAAAAACTAATTACAATAATAAATTAAGTTTTAACACTTATATTAAGCGGCTACCTTCAGATCCCGTTTCTCTCAATATCTCACGAAACACTCAAAGTTAATTAGCAAAGAACTCAGCCTCTCTTCCTATCTTTGCACCCATACTTGGGCCTATACGGTTAAGCTGCGTACGGACGGCGCGTACATTGATACGCGTAGTTGGTTATGCTTGTCTTGGAACACTATGCACTCATAGTTAAAAGTATTTATATGGTGTTCCAGTACACGCGTAACCGACTACACGTACCAATGTACGCGCCGTCCGTACGCAGCGAAATTTCACTTCGTGGTCATCATCGTCGCCTACCGACCCTACTCTAAATTGCAGGAAATTAGCTCATTCTCGATTTAACTAAAACAGAATAAGAACCGAAGGATAAGCCACGCACGACGAGCTTCAGGATATTGGATCTTGCAAAAGTTTATAATATAAATGCTTTTGCATATTATTAAAATTTATAAGCAAAATTTTTGTACTTCGGGTGATCGCTCCTAGGTATTTTATAGAAAGCATCCGTATTTCTTAAATTATATACTTTAATTATTATATTCTGCCGAATCCTCAAATTTAGTGGACAACAATTTAAATTAGTTCAACACAAATAATATGTCTTCATTCATAGCAATAATGAATTAGTCAATAATTATATTCAAATAGACACACGCTTCGTAGCTACACCCTGTCTTTGCTCACAAATGTTCTAATTTTGGGAAATAATTAACAAAAATGTAATATGTTCACACGAATTCAAAATTCTTCTTATCACATATGGAAATTCTTGAGAGTATGAGCTATGAGTATGAAGACTCAGTTCCCAATTCGCTCAACGCCATATCGTACTTTTCACAAGAGTATTCTGTAATGGGTCCGAAACTTATATTTGATATTATTTCAATGTCATCCGCA